ATATTCATTTTGTCAAACTACATATGACTGTTTTATTTGGATTTCACCTTCTCAGATGGTACCTTCCATGATTGATTCTTGATTTTTTGAATATATTCTGATTTGAAAACTCAGACTAAGATGACATTCCATTCTCTGCCATAACATTCAGAATATATTAAGCTCTTAAAATTTTATTGCTACTGGATGCTGGTATTTTCTAGGATATGGTGAAACTTCAATTTGCTACAGACAGAAATAATTACTATTTCAAAATATAATATTTAAAGCAATTAACAATTCCTATAAACATGTAAGTCCTTTTTTTCCCAAGGTGTCCATTCAATTTCTGATTTTGACTGACATATTTTTGTTACTTTTTGGCTGGTATAATCACCCCTTTCTCTGAGCTTATTTCTCAAAGGATGCATGGATTAAATAGGGTAGCTTGTCCATAGCAGTTTGGGTCAAGCTGTACATTATGTGAGATGCTAATGGCCCCGAGCTTCTGTCAGTAACATTTTTCCCCCAGAAAAGCAATAGCAATTTTCCTAGTGACTATGTGACATATATTTGCTGGAATTGAAATTACACAGCTGGCGGTCACAGAACAGTGCCAGTGGCTAAGGTTGTATACATGATTTGCATACTGTTCAGAATGGATGCCACTTAAAAAAATGCCACGTGTTGAGAAACACTGGTAACTGTATGATACTATAGTCAGTACAGTAGAGCCGTTATTACTAGTCTGTGGGTCAAGAAGATTGGCTAAGACTCAAATTTTATTTTAATCAGATTTTGGAAAGAAATATGGAAAAAGCTTTTAAAAACAATAAATTAAGTACTATGCACTTAGAAGTAGAGATTGGTTGCCACTTAGAACTGTTCCATGCTGCTTTTAGACTGTATTTAGTGTTGTTGTGTTTTCTGAGTTAGGACTAAGAGGCTGGCTCTCAAGGGCAGTGTGCCAGGTCCAGTTTTGCATTAGCTATTTCATATCTGTTCTAGCTAATGAATCCATTGATTGGATAATCACAAAATCAAGGGACTAGCAGAATCTGATGGGCTCATAATACTAGATGAAATGTGTCATAGAGCCACAACATATCTATGTGCTGAATTTATATATCAAGAATATAAACATGGTATTTTTCTTTCACTGACTGGCTGATTTCACTTAGTATAATGCTCTCCAGTTCCATCCATGCTGCTGCAAATGGCAAAAATACCACATGATATCACTCATTTATGGATAGTAAAGAAAATTACAACCTGATGAACAAAAAGACAGATACAGAGGCAGAGAAGCACCGAACAGACTGTCAAATTACAGTGGGAAGGCTAGGGAGGGTTGCGGGGGCAGGTAAGAGATCAACCGAAGGACATGTATGCATACATATAAGCATAACCAATGAACAATGGACACAGATACCGGGGGAGGAGTAGAAGGAGGGCATGTTCCTGGGGGTAGGAGAAGCCAGGGGGAAGTCAATGGGGAAAAAAGGAGGCATATGTACTACTATATGTAATACTTTAAACAATAAAATAAAATTTTTAAAAATGAAAATAAAAATCAATAAAAAATAATTTAAACATGATATCTTCTTCCAGCCTTTAGCAGAATGTTCTGCTGATTACTTTCTTTGCTCCCCATATTAATTCTCTGCCCTTTACCCCATATACACTGTAGCACAGGAGTCCCTTCTGTTTGTTTTCTGACTAGATTTGGCTATTAGGAAGCGCAGGAAGGGCAGAGAAGGTGAGAGGAGAGAAAGGTCCTATGTTATACCTCTGCTCCTGCCATGCCTCTTGACTCTGCTGCTACTATTCCCTACACTTTCCTTCAGGACTGAGGGTGGAAAGGGCTTCTGTTTGTTGCTGTTCCCTGTGAATCTCAGCAGACATAATTTATTCCATTAATCTTTGTAAATAGTACCTCAAATTCCCATCAGTTCAACTCTTTTGAGAAGAATCTATTTCCATTTTGAACCTTGATACAGATACAAAAACTTGGATTTTATTTGATAAGTACTTAAAATTAGCAACAGTTAATATTCAAAATATTAGTTATCCACTCAATATTTTTAAATTAATTTCCTAAATTTTTCTCAATTAATTCTTCTCAAACTGACTCTGAAAATGTTAAGAACAACAATATTTCACATTTCACTGTGGTTCAGAGCCTATGGCATAAAACTTTTAGGTGGCACTTCTACAACCTGTTTCTTTCTTTGGTTGTTATTGTGTTTGCCTTATTTCTTTCCTATCTCCAAACAAGGAAGGGTAGGCTTATAAAAAAGATAATCAAGTAAAATCTTAGGAGTTTTCAGACAGCTAATTCAGTAAATAATAACTAATCTTTTTGAAAAACAAAAATCCAGCAGTGATCAAATTTGTTTCAGTAGATCCCAAAGCCTGGTTCTTAATTTTAATATAATTATACTAGAGGCCCAGTGCATGAAATTCATGCATGGGGGGGGGGGGGTGTTCCTTAGCCCAGTATGCACCCTCTCCAATCTGGGATTCCTCGAGGGATGTCTGACTGCCCTTTCAGGCCCAATCCTACCATATTTGTTGGGATTCATTTATCTTCTATAGTTGAAACTTTTTAACCTTGAGTGGAGGCCAGGGCCAGTAAGGGCAGGTGGAAAGCTTGGTTTTCTCCATTGCCAGGGAAACCCAAGCCTCCTGCTCTCTCTGTGGCTGCAGCCATCTTGGTTGGGTTAATTTGCATACCTGCTCCTGAATGGCTGGTGGGCGTGACTTGTGGGTGTAGCAGCAAAGGTACTTTTGGGACTCCTGTGCTACAGTGTATATGGGGTAAATTTGCTTATTACTCTTTTATTAGATAGAATTTTTGCTTATTTTTTGTTATTCAATTTTAGGAGTTATTATTAAAATGTGACCTTTATATGCTTTTTAAAATTGATTTCAGAGAGGAAAGGAGAAGGAGAGAGAGATAGAAACCAATGATGAGAGAAAATCATTGATTGGCTGCCTCATGCATGCCCCCTACTGGGGATTGAGTCCACAATTCCAGCAGGTGCCCTTTACCAGAATAGAACGTGAAACTTTTCAGTCTGCAGGCCAACATTCTATCCACTGACTAAACCGGCTAGGGCTATACTTTTAAATGTATAAGATTGTCTTTACCATGTGGTAGCAGATCAATATTTATAATTATTCCTTGGACATATATAAAAAATGTATATTACCATTCAGCAAATATAAGTTAATTTATTATATTTGTTCTGGATTTCTATGGCTTTTTCCTCTAGTATTCAGTCTAGTTGATAAACAGGCATTGATATATTCATAATATTTTTCATCAACTTTATCATTTTTAATATTTTTGTTTTAATATCCAGATGCTATGTAGTTTGGTGCATATATGTTCACTAGATTTTATTATAAGTTTATCACATCTTTATAAGTTGTTTTCACTTTGTTTTTGACCATGCTTAGTGCTTCTGCATGAAATTCCACTTCACTCACATTTGCTTTTCAATTCCACTTTTTGTGTTCTTTGTATTTGCAGTCACTAGTGTATCTATTCCTTTGATTTCAACATTTACTTCATTAATATTAGTGTCTCATAAACATCACATCACTATTTTATCTTTGTTTACTACAAACTTGAATTTTTATTTTTTTTCAAAGAAATCCATTGTGTTTACAGGTAGAGCTAGATTGGTAGAGTCAATTTATCTCATTTTAATTTTACTTTTTCTTATTTTTATATACTTTCCAGGTATTAAAACATCCCCTCTCCTAACCTCATAATAAAATATATTTATTATTTTAGTGTCAAATATGAGATATCCAATATAATCCTAAGGTACACTATTTTATCTCTGCTTTCCTTACTGTCTAATAAAGGGGGACTTTAAGTACATCAAATCTTAATTAAATATATTTTAAGTTCAACTGCCGATAAAAAGGAAATAAATTTATTGACTCAGAGAGAAGAGGAAACTATCCTACATTTTAAAATATAAAATAGAGAGAACAAAAATCATGGATCTTACTTTAGGAGCTTTATTGAGGGGATCTATTTAAATAAATTGAGATATTCATGATGATACTGCCCTATGAGTAGTGGAATTAGAAAGATTATAGAGAAACTACACTAATATGTAAGTGAAATGGTTTCAAGAGCACTATACTATTTTATTCTTATATCTTCTTCCTTTTCTATGGCAAACCTTGATGAATATTCAAGGAAATTTTATTTTTAAAAATTAAGGAACAAAATGCTCCACTGATTTCTAATGTAGAAATTATCAAGATAATGTAAGTTTTAATGATTTAGATTTTAGCTTTTTATAGGATTTTATTGAAATGAATTAAGATAATTTTATGATTTATTAATGTGAGGCTCATTTCAATTCAGCACTTTTATTTTACATCTCAACCAGTCTGGTTGAAAAATATGTAATTAAGTGGAGGTAAAGAAATCTTTAAATACTCTATTGAGATTAATACAGCAATATAAAATTGCTAAATATAGAATTGTAAAAAGTGTATTACACTTAAACAGTAGCATATATTACATCCAATTTCCTATTTTGTTATATAATTTTAAACCATATGGTTTAAAATCTCTACCAACAATAATATGTAGGAGTAAGGCATTGTCAATTAATTTTAAAGCAGACACTGATTTGATTAAACACATATATGATGTGTTCATACAATGTGCTGGTCTAGAGGCTAAAATGTTTATCAGAGAATTGTTGAGAATCACAATTACATCAGTAATTGGTGAAAATAATCATTATATCAATAATTGGTGAAAACATTAGATGCCAATTACTGATTTAAGAGCATTTACAATTTCATGTGAATTGGGGAGGGGTAATGTGGGAAGGAAGTAGGTGAGAGTGAAGCGAAATACATAACATAAGTATAAATATGTCTAGAAGTCCTATTCAATATGTCTCATAATATTAGTTATATTAGAAAAATAATGGCATGATATTTTTTTAATTGTGTTTGAATATAATTGTCACTTGACTTACTTTCACTTGTGGAATAATCCTGTGGGTCAAGTATTCCAGATTCCTGCAGCGATCTAATACAGGAGTCCACCAGCTCCAGACCTGTTGTGAGTTCGTCTTCGATATCTTTTTGACCATCTGAAATTGTAGTATTTTAAAGTCATAAACATGAGATGATATTAAAGCTTAAGGTAATCATTTAAAAATCAAAAGTACTATGAAGTTCTCAGTATCATAGTGTAATCTTCAGTCAATCAGCATTAAAAGCTAACTCCCGCCCCCCTATCCCCCAATTCCATGATCACATGAAGGACAGAAAGTGACTAGGGAATTGTGAGAACTTAGGTCCCATGAAATTGTGAGCTATCACAACTTCACTTAATTTTAGTGTTATGGTGTTGTCATGCTCATTTTCATAAGTCTCTTCCTAAAGTTCATAAGGAAATTAATCAATAGAGACACATGTAATAAATGTTCATCAAGAAGGCATACGTGGCCCGACCCACCTGGCTCAGTGGTTGAGCATTGACCTGTGAATCAGGAGGTCATGGTTCAATTCTCAGTTGAGCCATATGCCCCGGTTGTAGGCTTGATCCCTGGTGTGAGGCATGCAGGAGGTAGCCAATCAATGATCCTCTCTCATCAATGATTTTTTTTTCTCTCTTTCTCCCTCTTCCTCTGTGAAATCAACAAATCAATAAAAATATATGTTTCTTTAAACAAAGAAAGCTTACTTTACCTTGTGACTGCCAGTGAAACTGCTCTTCTGCTGAACTGTAAGAAAGAGAACACATAGGTATAATGCATGAATTGGAAACAAAAGGACCCTACACAACATTAGGGTAGTAATGGTGGCTCCTGGGACTTGTTTTAATTTCTTACTGAAAAAGAGACCTCCTTTTGATACAATCTTAACTTTAATCCATTTGATGTACACCCCTTTTGATTCACAGGTATTAGCATATTATAAATAGATATTGTCCAGTAATTTTCAAAAGAACAGCTCAATTTTCACAAAGCCAAACATATTATACTTGTTCCTTATAATAGTTTTTATATACATGCAGTGCTTTTAAAACACAAGTCTGAAAAGTTTCATGTAGACTTTGTAATGCAGTTTAAAAAAGAAATAATACTCCCCCTTTTCATTACAAGGATGACATAATAAACTTATACCTTCTTATAGACATATCAGGTGAACTGTTCCTTTAAACTGATTATTATAGTTTACATTAAGTAATTTAAAAATTATAACATTTTACTACCAATTGAATATGCAGTTCCCAAATTCTCACTGTATACATTCATTTAATAAAATGACCCCAGTGTGCGTATGTTCACATGCATAATATACCAAAGATATTGTGCAAAATGCAACTATGTAGAAAACAGATTCATTTTGAATGCTTTATTAAATATATGCATACATTTAAAATGTCTAAGTATAAAAAATTCATTATACACATAAATACTTCCAATATGCCCCATTTAATATGTTAATAATTGAGAAATCTAGATGCCAATCACTGACAGACATCACTTCCAGAATGATTTTCTACATTTATTCCACTGCATCTTTTACTCTGATCAAGTAGCTTCTATGAATAGCTCATCAGTTTCCCAACAGCAAGTGGGTTTTAGAACACTAATCTATACCTTGGAGATGACTTTTGAATACATTTACAGGAGGAAAAAGGAATTCTGGCATAAATCAGGGTTCAGAAAACCCATGATTGATATAAATGAATACATGAGTAATCCCTTAAGAGACATATAGCTTTTACAGGGTATATTGCTTTGAAGCCAATACATATGAGCAAACTTGAAAATGGTTTTACAGTGATGAGAGCTATAGACATTAGATACATGAAATGATAACATTACAAAGTCAATCCAGTGCAACTTTTACCATCTATCTACAAAGCTTAACACTTAAAACAGAATTGTCATCCTATAATCAATATTTTAAAAACTGCAGAGCATGTTCACTTAATAAGAGATGCTAATATAGAAGTAGAAAATACTTTCATACTTATAGCAAGTGGAAGAATGGCCCTCTCTCCTCATAGATATGGCCACATAAAATCCCTAGAAACTAAGAATTGTTATTGGGGAAAAACGGTTTTGCAGATGTAATTAAAAATTTCGGATGAGTTAGTCCTGAATCCAATGATTAGTGTTTTTATGAGAGATAGAAGAGGAGGGAGAGAAAGAGAAGGCCAGTGAGGATGAAGCAGAGATTGGAATTATGCCTCCACAAGCCAAAGAATGCTTGGAGCCATCGGAACTGTGAAGAGACAAGAAATGATTAATCTCTAGGGTTCACAGCTCTGCTTGGAACTTCTCTTCTCCCTCAAACAATTAAGTTTCTTTTGGTTTAACCCTCACAATTGCAGTAATTTGTTATGGCAGTCCCAGGAAACTGACATTATTTTTTCTGTTATATCCTCCAGGATTTAGGACAACATTCCTTTTATCAGTGCAGCCCTTTTGTAAGTACTTACTGAATACCAGGTCTCTGCTTATCCACAACAATCACACATTTATTTTGGCAGATGAAGAATAACATGCTTATTGATGCTAACTAACTTGACCACAGGGATCTTAAGGAACTCAGTAGGGGATTAAACTAACCAATTCAACTCCAAAACTCACATTCCCACCTCCTAGTCTACAGCTATAGAGAAAAACACACTAAGGTTAGTTCCCACCCAATGCAGTGAGTGAGCCAGTCACTGAGAGCTTCCCCCAGGGCACACTGAAGCCCCACACTTCTCTCTCTGCAGGCACAATGAAGACCACACTTCCTGCCTCCTTGCACAGAGAAGGAGCCATGTGAAAGTCTGTGAGAAGAAGGGACAAGTGTCACTTCCTGCTCCAGGCAGAGAAAGGCAGGAATGAGATCTTCATGCTCATTTCCTGTTAAGCCCTGTGTTGCGATGGGTCCCTCAGTAAGGATGTGAAAGAAAGATCTCCGCCAGCCAACCCATACACGACAATGCATGAGTAAGAAACAAACCAATGTTTGTTAAAACTCTGATGGAGGATTGTTTCCGTAGAATAAATGTCACACTGAATAATACAAAAATGTGTCATCACCTGCCGGTGTGGCTCAGTGATTGTGCATGGATCTATGAACCAAGAAGTCACGGTACATGTCTAGGTTGCCTGCTCGATCCCCAATAAGGGGCATCTGATCAATGATTCTTTCTCATCATTGATGTTTCTATTTCTCTCTCATTCTCCTTTTCCTCTCTGAAATCAACAAGTGTGTGTGTGTGCGTGTGTGTGTGTGTGTGTGTGTGTGTGTATATATATATATATATATATATATATATATATATATATACATACTATAAGTATAAAAGTATTTTCTACTTCTATATTAGCATCACTTATTAAATCACTTATCACTTTAAAAGTGCCATCATTTATATTCATAAGGCATTTCCTGCTTCTCTCTCTTCATTTCCACACATTGAGCTGGGAGGTGTCTTGTACCCATCCTCTGAGATTTAGCCTCATTGACAATACTGGGTGATTTCATAATACAATAGTTATTTTTAATTCATGTCTTTCAAAAGTATTTCTATTTTAAGATGCAACAGAAGAAAGAAGAAGCATTTTTTTATTACAATTAAAAAATACCATTGGCAGTGACTATAAAACTATCTTCTCCAAGCAGAAGGGCATTCCTTTGGGGCAGTCAAAGAGCATTAATCACATAAATGGTTTCCTGATTCCATTGGTGCAGTTAAAATGCATTAAAAGTATGAATGATCACAGAAAGTGGAAGTCCCAAGAGAGACCTGGTTTGGATTTTATTTCCTCTGAATGTACACTTTACTCTTTTGGATAGGGGATTCTATGCAATTGCATAGTTTATTCATTAATCCCTTCTCTTAAAAACTGCTCTGAGGTGGGTGCTTTTTAAAAAGCAAACAGCTATTTATACATTTAATGAACATGGATTAGCCTGTGTCTCCATCCTTCTTATTTCAGGTGTTTAGGAATTACTCATGGAGAACTTTCTCCCAATAATATTATCCAATTTACTATAACACAAAAGTCATTTTTTGAAGCTGTTGTAACTACATGCATGTTCTATTTCAAGAAATAAAGTTGGCTTTCATTAAAAATACTATTTATTGAAATAGAAGTAATTATACAGAAATATATAAATGTAATTTAGAACATTCCAAATATATTTAATCATAACTATGTTTAAGTTCCAGAATCCAAATATTGTGAGAAAAGAAATGTATAATAAAGGCTATCATATGTAACATTAACCTTTAACTATATATCTAAATATATATATAAATCAATGATATTAAGAGTTTCAGAAACAAAATATGAAAACGACCAATTTTAGTAGCTAACACTTTATACCAGACAATATGGTAGATGATGTTCATTCCATGTCTTTTAAGATAATTAATATGTTCCCATTTTATAGATAATGAAACTGAGGTAAAAGATGTTAAGGAACTTGCTGGATATTTCAGAGCTAGCAAGTAGTAAAGCCAGAATTCTGACCCTGCCATTTGGTATTAGAGGCCACTTTCTCAACTGCCATTTTATCCACACAGTTGGCTGCATCAAAAGTAAACTCCTAGGTGATAAAAACTAAAACATAAACACTAGAAATCAAGTTTTAAAACAAGTCACATCCTAGGAGAAGCTATTTGCAATGCAATTAACATACAAAGAGTTCATTTTCAGAACATACAAAGAACTCTCACAAAGTAATGAGACAGAGATTAAGAGATCAAATAGAAGAGAGGTCAACAAATATATGTACAGCTGAGGCATAGAAAAATCAATAAGGGATGGCAACTGAACACATTAAAAAAAATACTCAACCCTATTAGGAATCAGAGGATTGAAAATTAGCCATGAGATACCTCTTTATACTCTAGGCTGTCTAACAATTAGGAAGTCTGACAGTACTCAGTGTTGGGAGAGGGTAGGGAAATAAGAATTGTTATATATTGTACATCAGGGAGTAAATTAAGGAAACACTTGGGTAAGCCATGAGACAATGCCTGGCAATGTTTTACATGCAAATACCCAACCACCCAGCAGTCTGCTCTGGGTAGAGCCTCCAGGGAAACCCATGTACCTGAGCCCAGGAGACTGTACAGGATTGTTCATGCCTTCATGTCCACAGTAACAAAACAATGGAACAACCTAAGTAATCAGTAATAGGGGAATAGAAAAATATACTGATATGATTACATATCATATATGACATTCATCTAGATTAAATTATTCATCAGTTAAAATAAGTGTGAGAATAAACAAGTCATCTTTTCTGTCAAAGAACAGTTTAGACAGCCACTATTTTGGACTGTGTAATTTGGCAGCTGCCATGTTGGCCGCATGGCTTGCAACTCCCCTGGGGACCCCATCTTGAAACTGGAAAGGCCAACCCCTCCCATCAAACTAGCCAATTGAGAAAGACTGTGAGCCTGAGCTCCAATCAAGAGTGAGGGGCAGGTCACATGCATCAGGATTAAAATCCCAAGCAGACCACCTGCTCAGTGTGAGAGTGCTTTCAGACCATGTGCTGCACACCCTTCTACATAGAAGTAAAGATATTTGCCTTGTTGCCTGACTACTAAGTATGTTTTGTGTTCTATTACCAAAACCCCTGAATTTTGGGGCTTATTTTATTTCTTACATAAGTTAGCCAGATACTACATAAATATCAACATGGGTAGTTCTCAAAAACAAAAATAGAGTAGAAAGTGCAACTTACTTACACATAA